ACTCCCTGCAGCGCCATTCGCAGACCGTAATGATCCTTTTCAGCCTTCGCACGGTTCACTCGCTCCCACAGAGCCCTCTAGCTTGGCATACACATAGTGGTGCAGTACCGGCCAGTCTATATGCCTGTTAATTTTCAAACGCACTGGCATAACTGAGAAAATAGCACAAGGACGCTAACTTACGGGCACATTAATGCTCGCCACTCTGCACGGAACAAGCCTATCATCGCCTTTCTCAACATACTCTGTGAGTCAGTTACAATGATGTTTGTGTGTGGTGTACAGCTGATTCTCAAGCCAGCGGAAGGCAACGGTGGTGGACGAACACCCAGAACTTTCCGACGCAGTATACATTTGGTAAACGCGAAAACGTATTAGTTGTGTCATCGGGCCCAACTTTCTAAACAAATCTTTTTCGAGATATCCTTAACTACGATGGCTAAGAATGGTTTGAGTCCTTTTCTTTTACTTCAACCCATTTCTGGGGTCCGAGACTTTCCAGGAAAGTCCAAAATTATGGGAGAGTTGGGGGGGGGGGGTGGTGTTCATTTCCCACTCTTAACCCCGCTTGATGAGAAGCTCCCAAGTACAAGTCCCAGAAACCTTGTTCAACCGCGAGATTGTGTACGACACCCGACAACAGCCGGGTGGGGGCTTTTATTAACGAAAATGCGTCCCATAATGGGGGCGAAGTAATTGTAAAGTGTGAGATCACACACCCTTTAAAGTTGTATCGCGGACGCCCGGTGGTAGCAGATAGTAGAGCCATCAACAGACAGACAGTCTAGCGCTGTGTACTGTCTGCTCACACAGGCGCGTTCCAGAAATGAGGTTTTCTAAATATAAACCCGCGACATGCGATAAGGTTTTACCAGACGGGGAACGCTGACAGAAAGCTATTGGCTGTTAACGTGAACCGACATGATCCTCTCTCGTCGTTGTCTTCCTCCTCTTCGTTGTTAATCCGTTCTCCTTTATTCTTCTTCTTATTCTGTCCGTCCTCCATTTGTACTCCTCTTTGTTGTCAATTCGTTCTCGTTTATTCTTCTTTTTCTTCTGTCCGTACTCCAGTTGTGGATTTCCAAGCTGTACATTAGACATGGCCAATGAAGACACCTTTTGTCTGGCGGTGCCTAGTTGGTCATGTTATTACACTTGTTACTACAGCGAGGCGCACACGCCATCTGGAGGTGACAAGCTCGATTCCCGGCACGGTAACTATACCTTTCGATTTGAATGTTTTCTAGCCTGTCCTATCTATTTCTATGAGTGCCAATCGATAAATTATTACATTTATAAATTTGACACCAGACTGAGGTCAACAACGTGAAATTTTGGCGATTGTCACGAAAGTTCACTTTAAAGCCGAGATTTATTTCTCGGTAAGCGACGTGAACCTCACGTCGGCCGCCTTTACTTCTCAAAACCCTACCTGGTGCCCCATCAGGATCTGAACCCACGATCTTCGTTTCCGCAAGCGAGCGTCTAGCCGCTACACTACGCCTGATACCAACAGATACTGTAGGCAGGAAGAGATAGGCAGGCAGACAAGTAAGGCAGACTGTCGTGCAAGACGGTCTGCCACCAAACTGCGCATGTATGTCGGTATGTTGCCGTTATACCAGTGCATTTAAAACGCCTAACCCACATCGCCGACTATACCAGTGGCTGTCGACCTTTCTAATGCGGCGACCCTTTAATACAGTCCCTCACATTGTGGCGATCCCCAACCATACAATTATTTTCTTTGCTACTCCATAACTGTACACTGGTAGAAGGTGCAGAGGCAGACCAAGAGCAATGATGGTTGATCGTAAAGACATTGGTATGGAGACACATCAGTGGAATTGACCCAGAATAAAGATCGAGATCAGTGGAGATGCCCCCCGTGTGGGTTCCGGGGCCCCATTGTGGGGAAAACAAGAATAGACCCACTGCCTCCCCAAAAGCATGTCGTAAGAGTCGACTAATTGGGGAGCTTACTTTTAAGTCGGAGTGCATCTGCCGGGGAGGCAAGGAACCAACAGTCTGTATTCAAGAGAATGATATTTGTAAAACTGATGCACACGCAACACTCAGGTTCTGGAGCAGGACTGCAGTTCAGTAATGGACGAGCAACCAGAACTTTCCGCCAGAGTGTACAGCTGGTGAACGCAAAGAAGAAGAAGAAGTGGAGATGCACGAATACCTATACAAGCTGGCAAGGCACTTGATGATGATATACATAGTACTTTGTCTCATCATTATACCAGCCACTAGGAACCTCCTATTGTCCACGTCGTATCGAGTTAGTAGTCATGTGTATTCACAAACTTCTGTCTCATGTACTTTCATCATCATCATAAAGAACTTCTGCCGTAAAGCACCGTGGGGAGGAATCATTTGTGATCCAGTGCACGCAGGCTGCCACTGGCTTTTGTCATGCCGTGAAGGCGCAGATTGTCTTTAATGTTATCCATCCATTTTTCGCGGCCGTCCTCTTGCTGTTGCAGCTGATCTGCTGACACGAAGTGCCTGTGGTGGTATTTGATTTTCCTGCATTGACGGCTAAACCATTTAGTCTGAGGTTTCTCAATAAATCTGGTGTCCTTCCAACAATTTGCCTGATAGAAGCATGGTTCACTCCATCTTGAATGGCAGCAGCTTTTCCTCAGGGATCTCACCGAGCAAGTGGTTATTGTGCGTACATGGGCTTTAGTGTCTATGTTTGACTTTCAATTACTTCTGATGTATACGATCTTTTATGCCATTATTTCAAACTGTCCAGCATCTTCTCTCTGTCTCCCTCTGCCTCCTTTGCCCTCCAGCTTCGCCTCCGCCATCTTTGTACTCCAATGGTCTGCTTCTCAGGAGATCAAAGAATGCAGGTTGTCTCCCCCTGGTGTGGGCCCGAACGTCTAACAACACACATAAGACGGGATATGCAACTTACTAACATGTAACAAGTTCTACTAGCTTCGCCACAATGACTGGAGACAAGAGGAAGAGCAAAAAGACCTAGCTACAGAATGTGGCTAAATGAAGAGGCTAAAACATGCCTAAATCAAATCCACTGCACCCGACCAGACAGGGTACAGCAAGTGGTGATCCAAAGACACCAGCTGACGGGCAATTATGACGAAAATGATGAATGGCTAAAAAGCGTAGAGGCGTACAATTACTGACAGCTACAGTCTTTCCTCTTGAGCCTAGAGCGGCGCATAGGGCAGAGGTCATAGCTCTGCATGTCTGGCAGTTCGCTACAACCTGCTTTAGGTCTTGGATGCGTGTTAGACCCATGGGTGCGCCTTCCCTGATGATGGTTGCAGGTAGAGACAAAACAAAACAGAATCGTCAAACTATGTAAACTGAACTTGTGCAGAAACATGGACAATGAATAAGCAACTAGAAAATCGAAACGAGTCTAATGAAATGTTGATATTCAGAAGATCAGGTTGTATTTCACAAAAACAAAACAAAAAAATCAAATACAGAGGCCCAGAAGAGACTGCAAATGAAAAGGTATACTGGCTCTCCTTTGAATAACGGTCCCAAATGATCTACGCAGAAAGTTAACCCTAACAGAGCCTCATTATACGTCCTACCCTACAAAGATTTAAAAGTTGTAGCTCGGAAAATATAAGGAACGAAAAGTATGAGAAAAAGGGCGAAGTCTACTACTTACCGACAGTTAAATCCTTTATATGTGAAAATTGTGGCACAGAAGTTGCAAATAGTGCCCGAATATCTGTTCTTTCTGTCTGTCCGCCATTTCAACAGGGCGCGGCTTGTCCGCGTTCCGGGCGAGACATAATAATGTGCGTTGTAATGTACGCGCACGTCACCTCGGGACAACTTCAAACCAGCAGTCGCCTCGGGACAACTTCAAACCAGCAGTCGCCACTATGGCGCTCCACTATCCCGACCACCCCTTGACCGTGGCGAATGCGACCACGCTTGCAGTTGCGACGGAAGAAGTAGCTCATGACTGTTTTCCTGCGTCTACACTGCCATATCCGAGAGTATCCCCCGCGCCGCGGAAGGGGCTAAACTAGATGGCTAGGACTCACGAGCAAAAACAATGGAGGAAGCTGTAGGAGAAGCGGTAGCTGCTGCTCTTGAGTCCCAGCCATCTAGTTTAGCCCCTTCAGCGCCGCGAGTAGCATACTCTCGAAGGTGGCACTATAGTCGGCGAAAAGTGGTCCGCAACTTACATATAACTGTGGCCCTGTCGTAGGATTGCGCTATCGGGAGTATTCTTGCGTGTCGCTAATTTTTCGTCGGTAGTTAATCCTAGTTTTGCCGGCGTTTAATCGTCGTAAAAAAAGTCAGTTGCGTTTCGCGAAAATGTCGTGCGCAATTAATCCTATGTTTGACGCGGTAGATTCGCCGCAAAAGAAATACGAATTTTAGATATGAGTGAGGCTCTGTTAGGGTTAACTTTCTGCGTAGATCATTTGGGACCGTTATTCAAAGGAGAGCCGGTATACTGAAAGAAATACAATTTAAAAAAAAATAATATAAATATTTTGGCTGCATTAAAAAAAAAAGGTTAGTTGCGTATCCTTTACAGGAAGGACGTTGCAGAGCCAACCCCAACAGCCACTGGTCGTCGTGTGGTTTTTCTAGGCAAATTTACGTCCAGTAGTTTGCCAATGTACTCAACGGTCGGCTCTCTTGATACCACTGTCGAAACCAACGCAAAGTGCATGGCCCGCAGCTGGGATCGAACCCGGCATTACGAAGCGTTCGCATCGACTAAACCACAGAGCCGACGTATTAAAAAAAAAAATACTCTTTTAAAAATATACTGCAGGGTAACATCAAAGTCAAGACAGCAACAGGGAGACAATGAGGACAGCTAAGAGATGGACGAACATAAGTCAGAGAGAGTATACAACCAAGACAAGAAACGCAGATCTATAGCCAACCTTCATTAAAAAAACAGCAAACGACAAAGTGAATGATGATGAGAAAAACAACGGTTAACACTGAACGGTAAAGAATACAGCTGTACTCACCGCACGAGCAGCAGACGAAACACTTGGTGTGGTAAAGGTTGCCCATTGCTTGGCACGCCTCGTTGGTTCCCGTGACCTTGTCCCCGCATGTCACACACTGGCCTGGGTGAAGGAAGAGAAACACGAGCTGGTGAGTGTCCAGTTAGTAATGTCTGCGCCTTCCACGGGCAACTCAAGCATCAACAACAACAACACATGTGTTCACTGACTAGGTTAACATGCGAGTTTCCCGTGTCCATTTCCAAGTCCCAGGGGGAAAAGAAAATATCCACTCGTTTAATGTAAGCATGCAGTTAAAAGGCGACTAATTATCGTTTTGGCTGGAATCGGGCCTGCTTGGTCTACGACGCAGATATCGCTGCCTAGCTGTAAACCATAACACACAAAAAACAGCCCTTTTAAAGGAGAATGCAAAAGGGAAACAGGAAGCACACCCACTGTCATTACAGTGAAACCAACTGGGGCAGATTAACACAGGGAGGGAGGGAGAGGGAGAGGGGAGAGAGAGAGAGAGAGAGAGAGAGAGAGAGAGAGAGAGAGAGAGAGAGAGAGAGAGAGAGAGAGACGGAAAAAAGATATGAGACATAAGTCATGTATGTTAGTTAGTCAATTATCCTATCCTGATTGAACGTGGAACATTTCAGTCCATAAGTGCTGGGATCGCCTGCTTAGTAAATCCCGCAGGGTGTAGCGGCTCGCGACACCAGTTCTGTGTTGATTTCTCCCCTCTAGGACTACAGTCTGTCCCCTCCAGGACTGCCCATCGTCCCCTCCAGGACTGCACTCTGTCCCCTCCAGGACTGCACTCTGTCCCCTCCAGGACTGCACTCTGTTCCCTCCAGGACTGCACTCTGTTCCCTCCAGGACTGCCCATCGTCCCCTCCAGGACTGCAGTCTGCCCCCTCCACTGTCCATCGTCCCCTCCAGGACTACAGTCCGTCCCCTCCAGGGCTACAGTCCGTTCCCTCCAGGACTACAGTCCGTCCCCTCCGTGAGTACAGTCCGTCCCCTCTAGGACTACAGTCCGTCCCCTCCAGTCCGCAGGATTACTATCTTAATGACGAGACTCGCGTGTACAAACGCAGGTCAGCCCCGTTCAATCGTATACTGAAGTACCCAAACGGTAACGAAGAAACCTGAGTCCGAGTGATATATAACCCCACCAGGACCGAACAACGAGTAATAAAACACCCGGTGACACAAATTGCCACCAATCGGATCATAGTCATGCGGGTACAAGTCCCGGAAACATCGTTCAACAGTTAGGTTAACGACTACAGCCGGCGTTAAAAGTTAGTTCCGTATCTCTTGGACGTTGCAAGAATCAACCCCAGCATATTTCGGGTGTTGTGATTTTTCTAGGCAAATTTTACGTTCTCTGCGCCACGACGGATTGGGAAAAAAAAGGCATGGTATCAGGAAGGAGGGACAGGGCCGACCAACACAAAGATGGGCACAGGATATAAGTGACTCCTTGAGTATGAAAGTGCATGAGGCGGGAGAGCTGGCGAGAGACCGAGTTTCTTTCAGGCAGACTGCGATGAGAGCGACGTTCAGCAATAGACCTGCTACATGATGATGATGATAATGATGATGATGATTCGCCGTTGCTTTCTGAACAGTCAGCTCTAGGTACCACCATCGAAACAAGCTCAAAACAAATCGTCAGCAGCTGGGATTGAACTCGGCGCCCCGGCATTACGAAGCGCGTTCGCAACGCCGACACTGGGCGTCCCACAATGGGCGAGGTTTATACCTACCGGGGGCTGCGTCCGTCTCGAGTACTGGAGGTCCCGGGTTCAGGCCCCGGTGAAGGCTGGGATTTTTCCACGTGAACTTCCAGTAATTTCCCCTGGTCTCTGGGTAGTAAGATCGGACGTTGAAATTGGAATCCGGACCTGGATTTGAAGAGACGGTTTGAGCTGAATGACCTTGCACAGTGTTGAATGATTTGGCGACAGTTGGTTGAGGACATAAGCTCGACCGAGGAACAGCAGTGACGCAAACATCGCCAATGATGCTCTGCTAAGTTATGTTGTGGCTGCGCAATCTTCCTTTTCATGTTTGTTTGTCTTCTTTCTCCTCCTCCTGTGTTGGTCTTGTCGGTTTTGTACCGCTTAGTATAAACGCACATCTCTTCCTTTAGTTATCTCATCGGGGTGAGAGGGGTAGAGCAGATGCAAGGATCTTCTGTGAGATTTTTTTTTCTAATGTGCTGATCATCTCTTTAAGGCTGATTTTGATCCTCCTCCTTCTTCTTCTTCAGTATTTCGAGCCCTTGAGGTTCATTGCTGCATATATCACCCGACTCCATTCATCTCTCTGGTTGGTCTTATCTTTCCAGTTTGTGACACCAAGTGTTTGCAGGTCTGTCTGGACATTATCTCTCCATCGTCTTCTTGGTCTGCCTCGTAGTCTACGACCATTCATCTTCCTTGTGTATACAGTTTTTACTTTTCTGTCGTCTGAAATTCTTTCAATATGCCCCAACCATTTCAGTCTATTAGCTCTCATGATGCCAGTGATCAATGGTGATTTAAACTGATTATGAATTTCGTTGTTGCTTCTCACTCTCCATTCTCCGCTGTTTGCATTTTTAATGGGTCCAAAGATTCGTCGTAAGACTGTTTTCGAAAACCTATAATAAGGCTTCATCTCTTTTAGTCGTGCTCCAAGTTTCAGAGCCACATAAAACCCAAGTTTCAGAGCCAATTAAAACCCAAGTTTCAGAGCCATATAAAACGACGATATAATGTTGATCCCGTCGTTCATCAATTTGCGCTTTCTTTGCTTGCTCTATATCATTTCAGCGTGGCTCTCTGAGGCTGTTGGTACCAGGGAATTGCTGACCACATCACACACCAAGTGCCGATTGGTCTATCAATTACTTCCCACGCTTGGGATAAGTGGTATACATTGAAACAGGCAGCTGCCATTACCTCAACGTTTGATATTATACTCTTACTAGGATATTCTCAACACTGTTTTTCAATGTCCCGATTCTTTGCAGTTTCCTAACTCAACATTCCTATCCACAGAGAAGACAAATCACACACAAACTCAATACAGGCAGCTTGGATCTCACCAATACAGCCACGAGACATGAGCAATGTTTTGGCACAAAAACTCACTTTAAAAAAGTTCTTTCGCATTTACTGACAGCAGAACACGGGATTTTCGGCAACACACAATTTGAAAGTAATGCGGTGCGCATAAGAAACAGGCAGTCATGGAAAAGCCACCATTCTCGGTAACTCAGACGAGAAAGAAGAAGGGAGGGGGGAGGCGGCTTCTAGACTCTCGCCCGCCGGCACCCGAGAGTCTTGGTAATCCACGCCGACTCTTAGGCAGGGCTGTCGAAGTTGGTACTTTCGTACAAATATCCTAACAGAGGTTATGCTTCTTCTTCTTTGTTTACCGTGTGTGAGTTCAGGCTAAGAGTCATGCTTATTTGTCCATTTGGGCTTTGGCTTTGTGCCAGGAGCTGAGTTTTGCGTGTACATCCGTTTCACTGGCTTATTTGTGTGCAAGCTAGTTGTTTCTTTGCCGCTCGAGAAAAAGCACGCCGACTTCAAAGGAAAGCCCAATTAGTGGACTCTTACAGCATGCTTGTTAGGGAGGCAGTGCGTCTATCCATTTGTTTCCCCCAAAATGGGGCCCTAACAGAGCAAAACTTTACTTTTGATACCAGACCCGACATTTTGTACGCCGTAGTTCTTTCTCCTCAACAATATCAAGATTTAAACAATGGATTTTTTTTGAGGAACTTAACAATATCAAGATTTAAACAATGGCTTTTCTTTGAAGAAAACAATATCAAGATTTAAACAATGGCTTTTCTTTGAGGAACTTAACAATGTCAAGATTTAAACAATGGCTTTTCTTTGAAGAAAACAATATCAAGATTTAAACAATGGCTTTTCTTTGAAGAAAACAATATCAAGATTTAAACAATGGCTTTTCTTTGAAGAAAACAATATCAAGATTTAAACAATGGCTTTTCTTTGAAGAAAACAATATCAAGATTTAAACAATGGCTTTTCTTTGAAAAAAACAATATCAAGATTTAAACAATGGCTTTTCTTTGAGGAACTTAACAATATCAAGATTTAAACAATGGCTTTTCTTTGAAGAGAACAATATCAAGATTTAAACAATGGCTTCTCTTTGAAGAAAACAATATCAAGATTTAAACAATGGCTTTTCTTTGAAGAAAACAATATCAAGATTTAAACAATGGCTTTTCTTTGAGGAACTTAACAATATCAAGATTTCAACAATGGCTCTTCTCTGAAGACGTTACCAATAAATGCCTCTATGAGTTCAAAGTTATTGCTCCAGGAAACTAGCTGCACCAACTGGATGGAAGCCACCACAGCAGATGTGTAGCAAACTGAAGAGAGGAGGCGGGAAAGGTACAGTGATGTAACGAACAAAGAATTTCAAACAGTTCATGTGCTCCCATAAGACCTTAACCATGTTTGCCTTATAATGCATTAATCTTCCACCAAGTTGTGAACAGTCATCTATTTTGTCCACCTGTTCATTTCCCAACACACCGGCATGACCCTGAGAAAAGATCCGGACAATGCTCTTCATCCTTGACTTCCGAAGCAAAACATGCTACTCTGCACAAAGCATGTCTGCCCTCACCTTCCTCAGCAGGCTTTTCTGGGGAGTTACAATTATGTGTGTGTATCACGTTCTCTAACCAGCAGAAAGCTGCAGTGACCGCTTCCACCTTAAGCTAGATGTTGTAATACCATATGCTAAGCTCTTCTGTACCAAATATCGACCATTAGCTTTTGCCAAGAACCTCCCAGGCACTTCTTCTGCCTCTTGACACTGAATCATCTGTATAAATAAATAAATAATCACATAACCCGAGCAAGCATTATCCTGAATAAATTGCTGAACTGCCACCTCCTTGGCACCTGCTGGCCACTCTCTACCCTCCCCGCTCAATGTGATTATACACTGACACAAATCTGACTGTTCTGCTGGCACTCTAACCCACTCCTCTCCTCGCCTGATGTTCTCCAGGGTTGAAATCTCTCTGATCATGTCCTGCACCTGAGCCACCCATGCCCTCCCTCTTATCA